CTAGTCTTTTACTGCTAAATTTGGGACGGCTAGCGCAGATAGCCCTCGTGAAGATTTGCGAGAAATTTAAAAAACAAACAAACGAAAACTTGAGTTTTCATCCACTGACATACTCGTGTATTTGTCGTTTATCTAAGAATATAGTGAAAACTAATGGAAGTATAATGGAGTTCTTAATTTCGATAATAGAAAAAAACATTACAATTTTTATAAGCAGGAGCGCCAGAAGCATTTTGGGATAGGGATGGGGTTGGCAAAATGGTAATGGCATTAGCGCTCCCCCTTGCGTCGTGGGGTTCGGGAGCCATTTGCTCCCAATTAAATGTTTGGGGCAGCTGTCCTTGCTCCACCTTTCCTTCGCCCTTGTTTATAAGATTTACATGTTAGAAACATCCCTTAGGTAAGAACAACATAGTTAAATTTTCTCTTTTGTTGGGTTTGTAAATTAACTTAATATAACCTATAGATATGTCCAATAAATAGACTATAAACAGGTTTTACTCTATGTGGAAATTTAATCACTCCAAGCTTTCAGCTACTTTACTATAGTAGCTGTCATCAAGCTAACCTGAATAACAATTTAAAGAGAGTATAGCTGATATAATTGGGACAGTAAAAGCGAGTCTCGTAAAAACATTAGGTTTTAAGCCTCAAAGAGGACGATGCTAGCTGGTTTTTGTTCATTAACTCTCGTGGTTACATTCACATGCATGGGTCGCCACAGCTTATTTTTTTCAGATTTACAGAACGGGTGTGATATTTTGTTATGTTTTTAACTCGGGTAACCTTAGTTCTTCCTGCCTCCCCACATCCACAATCTATACTGTACACCACCCCTCTTCGATCAATTGGTGGTATTAAGTTCTTGAAGTTGATTAGTATGTTTCACAAAGCTGGATTTGATCAGTTAACCGTCCTTACCGGTTTTATTGAATGTCGAGTAAAGCCTGTTCATCATTTATTTATTGAATGTTTCTCACTCACATTAGGAGCCATAGATAATATATAAACAACCTGTACAACCAGGAAGTTAATCATGACATGTAAATAAATGGAAGTTACCATCTTCACAAATCATTGTAGTTTTTGAAGAACTGTCATGATGGTTGTAATATCGTGCCGTAAAGGCACAGACAAAGAACACCTTACACAGATGAATATGTAAGAAAATTATTTTTGCCAAATATAATTTATTTTTCCCTAATGTCATGCGGAATTATAAAGTTAAGTGCTAAATAACTTTCTAATTTACAAAGTGCAGTACTATCAAGAGGTTTACATTTTTCCATTACATTCACCATCATACAACTGATGAACGTTAACAGTCTTACAGCTTATGATATAAAGAACCAGACTTCCATGATTTAATACCTGTTGAAAGAAAGAAAAAAATAAAGAACCTTGGGACAGACAACAGCTTTATTATATTATCAGCTGACAAAGGAAGCTTCACTGTAGTTATGAACAAGACAGACTATGAAGAAAAATCAAATCCATCATCTGTGAAAATTCGAAAATGCTTCCATCGGGCCCTACTTATAAGATTAAATACGAAATATAACAAAAACTCAAGAAATTGCGTTACATTCGAGAATTAAATGAATGTCATTACAAGAGATTGACTCAATTGAACTGTGTTTGTTCACAATGATATGATTGATGCAAAAATTACAAACTCCGATCTTTATTAATTCATCAACCTATAAACTAATCTAAAAGTTATCTGGAAACACTTAATATCTTGTCACGGACTTATTTTACTTCATAGACGTTTCAAATAACATCATAATTAATGAAATAGATCTTCCTGTGAGTTTTGATGTTACATCACTATTTATAAGAGTCCCTGTCACCGATGTGTTCTCACTGTTGTTATTAATAAACTAAGGAAAGATGACACATTAAAGACAGTACACAACTCTTTCTTAACTCATTTGAACTGCTACTGACGAAGTGCTTAATTCTCTTCGAACTCTTCCCTTTTCAACACG